CTGTGTCCTCTTTTTGTTTGCCGGAAGAGAAACGCTGGACGTAATGCGTTTGCTTCGCAATTTGTGTGGCCTTTACAATGAATTGCTGAGTGTCCTGTGCTCTTCCATAATGGCAGTCGTTGGTAGGGAAAAGTGAACAAAACACTCACCGCATGGCAACTCCCGATGCGAACGCTAGTGAGCGTAGTCAAAGGCACACCTGGATGCGGTGGCGTGCGAAAGGAAGAAACGTTGAAAGGGGCACGTGGGAAGTGCAGTAGGGGCAGCAAGGGCGTGCAAACGCTGCGAAACTGAGCTCCCTCCCGGCTATTTAAATTGCTCCAAGAAATGCAGCGCCTTATTTAATAAAATTTCGACCGGCCGAATGGCAGCTTCGAAGGTTACACTGCATATAATATAGACGGGTCTTACCGTCAAAGTACACACGCGTACATACATACATGTAGGCTTATTCGGTGCGCATGCGTGTTTTTGCCATTCCCATGCTCCATCTGTGGAGAAAGTCTCGTTGAGTTGATGAAAAACCAAAATGAACTGAGAGTTCAGATTAGAGCAGACATTGAATCTTAATGCAAAACAGGGAGCAGAAATACCAGGAAGTTCGGCACCAGCGGAGCCGTCCTCGACGCCGACGCCAACAGCAACAGCAACACCAACGCCAACACCTACACCAACATCTACTGCGCCCGATTCCGCTCCAGCGCCACAGACGGCACCACAATCACCAACAGGAAAACGAAGTGGCTCCGTACGCACTTTTTCAATGTTTTCATCATCTATTAGCTTTCAAAACTGACTAGTTACACTCATTAAATGAGCTACAAACTGTTAAAAAATTGAGAACACTTCAAAAACAGCTCAGTGAAATCAAGAAATCACATAAAATTTTGTCCAGTTGTTCCGCCTTCTGAAAATTGAATATCAGTGAAAAGACACAAGTTGTAGACGAAAAGATCTCGAACCAAATCCGGCTCAAAACGTCGAAAGAAACGAGAAACAATGCCTGAGGGGTTCGACCAATGGCCGGAAATCGACCAAAAATACTATCAAGTACGCGAATCGAGCAAAACACTCACATAAATTACTCTGAAATCTCAACTCAGCGCAGCCGGCGCATCCTAGATCTGTCCATGTGACTGCACTCAACACAATTCGACTGTGGCGCTAAATTATGCCACTGCCCACATCCCCGTATCTGAACTCCAACTTTCGCTTCTCTGAATATCATCCGCTATCTGAACGCCTTGGTCATCCGAGTTCATAAAATGCGAAGGTCAAACATGTGTTTATATAAGCGAAGCAAGAAGCGCAAAAAATACCAAAAATGTGCAGCTATCGTCGCTTCTTGCTTTAGGGATAAATTGAAGTGTGATAAAAAAATTCAACAGCTTTAGGAAATTTCCGCCCTTCTGCGAGATTCGAAGGCAACCCGAAAGCAGTGTCGCTTCACAAGGCAAAGGATCGGCGCTTGGAAATCTCTCAAGGTCTTTAAAACAATTTACAGCTCCTTTCTTAAGGCTTCTTGCCGTTCCAAACTGACTTTTTAGTTTCCCTCTGTTCAACCGTTCTTTTTCTTCGAACAAACTAGGAGCTTATACACTGCACATTTCTCTCCCCCCTC